CCTAGCCGGAGATCTACTGGCCAAAGCCTTTGCGCACAGGGACCCAACCAGCGCCTGCGAGGAGCTACCTCCTCCCCATCTCCCTCCTCACGACGAAGCGGGGCACGACGCCCCGTCGTCCTCCTCGCGGCTGTCAAGCTGGCGATACTTTCCTGGAACAACTCTTCCACAAGGAGCTCTACTACTACAAATTCGTTGTGGTCGGGTGTTACAACAACTACTCTCTCAACATTGAAAAGCGTTACATAAACCAGTGAATAGTTTAGGATTATAGTTAAAGTGGAGCTCTTTATTTCTGAGAAATGGTAAGTTTTTGTGACAACCACCATCAGTTACTTGGTTGCAAAATGGGGTTTATACAATACCAAAACTTAATTAGATAAGTTTGTCAATTAAATTAATCCTGCCAAGAATCGAACCTGGGCATTTATCTTTGAAAAAAAATGAACCCACACTTGGCCACTTAAAAAAAAGTTTTATTCGTTCTTGACTTGAATAGCCCGAAATTGTAGTTTCGGAAAAAACATATTAGTCGTACATTAAGAAGACGGATGTAAAGCGATTCGTGCAAATGGTTGATATATGAATGCCTTAAGGATGGAGTGTACCCGATTTTCTAGTCGACCGAATGAGACAATATATACACGTTCTCCCTATTGTCCTCTCAAGAACAGGCGTTATTCCAAAATCATCTTCTTCATAGCCCAAGGTCTTTAAGAAACTCTCTTCATTACCATTAACTTACAAAAAGTTGCAATTATAAGTACATACCGAATTGACAGAAAGTTCATGCAGGTAGTAGAAGAAGGCAAAATAGGTACTCATTACTATACACTCTCAACACAGATTACACACCGCATTTATTTGATTACGGTCCGTAAATGTAGCTAAAATCAGTCAAAAAATATAATAATAACAATAACAGATGCTCCATACGACACGTATTGTTCGCTAGTTCTTGAACCTGAGTTCTTAGGGTCGAAACACAAAACTGCGAATGCGAATTCGCAACGCTGAAAATTGCGACGCGAATTGCTACGATGCGATATCGTGCGGCAAAGCGTCTCACTACCACGGTTCGGGTGATCATTCCTTCGACGATCATCAACGGCACTAAACGTATTTTACAGAGCTGGATCCTTAAAAGAATGTTGCACTGCTGTTATTGATAAGCAAATATAGGAAAAAACAAAAGAAGATTAACATCGCAGGAATGCGCGATGCGGAGCAATTCGCAAATTCTTGCGAAGCGACGTGCGAGCTCGTAGATTTCTGCAATGCGACGTCGCATCGCACTTTTGTGATTCGACCCTTAACCCCGATCGACTGTGCCATTGCCGGAAAATACTGCTTCTCCCATTTAAAAATGTACTATACTATGAGTAACAGTCAGCCTTACATATACCGGCATCAAAAAAATTCGCAATGACACAGTTTAAAGGGTTCGGCAGCAAGCAATTGTTGGCATGCATGCACGTTACATAACAATATACAATTATTTTCCTATTTATATAACACATCCAATCAGAGTTATGTAACGTCAGTTACGCATATAAATTTAATGCACGAAAAATGCTTCATAACATTTATGTAATACACCGTCCTATCAGAAGCGTCATATTATACGGTGACGACGGAGTTAAGGACCACGGAATTCTGTCAGAAAAAGCTAAATAGACACGACGACTGTTAGCAGCGCGTCTGCAGCGATTCAGTCGCGATGCTGTAGCGATGTAGTCGATAAATCGTTTTACACACAAAACAGCAACACAATCGCGACGCAAATGCCATGCAAATACGATGTACGTTTTTAATGATTCAACATAAGCGACTGCGTAGATGCAAGTCTCGCGGTTGCCTCTCTCTCACCGCCTGTAAATCGCTAGTTTTACAAAAGCGCGATTGTAGTTGTAGTGTGTGTTTTTTTTATGATATCAAATGGTGGGACGAGCAAGTCGTACGCCTGATGGTATGCTACACGCCTGTCCAGTTGCAGTGCCACTCGGAGCTTTAAATCGCAAAGATCTGAGGAGCACTGCCACTGCGCCCATCACCCTGAGACATAAGTTTACAAGTCCCATATGCCTGTAATCTCACCAGCACCCTTACCCTTTAAAACCGGAACACAGTAATGCTGACATTACTACTTGGCGGCAGAAATAGATAAGGTGGCAGTACTTCCCTGGACGAACTCTTTCTCAAGGACCTCTACTGCTACCATAACCGCTCTATTGCGTTGTGGATATTCCAAAGATTCGTATGAAGCGTTACGCTTCCGCATTTTTATGACGAAGGGCTATGGAGTGAAATTACCTGGTTGGCAACTAATTCCCAGTGCACTTACAATTCTGGCCTTTTCAAGGCGAGAGTGAAAAGGCATTATTTAGGAGACCATCGTTCACTTTTCATTAGGTGAGATGGAGGTCAAATCTCCTTGTCATAACTACATGCAAATCTACATGCTGTTTTTTTACATTTTATTTAGTATCCCTTTTATTGTTAAGCAAAATCAGCGTTGTCGACATTTTTGAAATAAAAAACACTAGGTACCAATGTCTCATCAATCATCGATCATGCGCACTTATGGTACTATAACGGTGACGTAGTCTTGGGTTTGCGTAGAGATCCTTTTATATTACATTTTATTTTCGTATTAATTCATAGAAGCTTCTTCTAGAACTGCCAAGATGTTCTTCTTTTTTCTTACTTATTTTTTAATACAATTCCACACACAAGCCTATTATATATATATATATATATATATATATATGTATTAAATAATAAATATATCCGTTCAGTCAGTATTTCTACTCATAGAACAGAGCCTAGACTACAGTACCAACACGACCACAAAGTGCTGGAATAATATTTCACCTATACGCTATCTATAGCTATATAGGTTGTCTAATATATATATGAGACAACCAAACCCAAATTTAAAGCACTACACAGGCAACATCTACTCTCATGTTATGTTTTTCTTTTCTGTTTAATCTTTATTCGTGTTATATGAATGAACAAAGTGTTTATCTATCTATCTATCTATCTATCTATCTATTGATCCATCCATCTATCCATCCAGATGGATGGATGGATGGATAGATATCCATCCGTCCGGTCCATCCATCTGTCGGTCGGTCCGTCCGTCCGTCCATCCATCCATCTATCTATCTCGAAAGTGCAAATGCGCACTTATTCTCTCATATAAAAAAACATGATTTTGAATACCTTTACCTACAGTTAAATGAAATGAATGAAAAACTTTGATGTCGAGCTTTTTTTTGTTATCCAAAAATTTATTCTTTATCCAAAAATCTCCATCTAAAACACGCATAGATGTCTTGAAAGTATTTCAAAGGATGAAAGTGTGACCCAGCGACTTAGATATTTTTCACGATTCAGAGGTTGCCGTTCAAACCATTGTTTTTACTAATTATCTGTCACTATTGGCAGCTGGCTCACTTCCACCATATTGGATGTAACGTCTCTATTTCGGTTGGAGCGTTAATGTTGCGGGAGATGACATAGAAAGTAACCATCGGACTATAACAACCTGTTTCACAACTGTCCAGCCGACATTGGAAACCTGGAATTATGGGAGGTCGTGACCATCCAGAATATATTTTGTTTATGGATATTGGCGCCTATTGGGGCAAACACAAATGTAAATTTCCGTATGACTTTTTCGTTATAAATAAGACTTATTAAAGTTGTTGAATCTTTGCCTAACTGGGTGATGAAATACTTTCACAGATTTCTCATAGATGGCGCTACGACTATAAAGTCGTTAAAAACCAGATAAAAAGATCCGACAAAGAAGCACATAGAAATTTCGTGAGTTTCGTTGGTTCGTTTCGTGGCTTAGTTGGAACAGCGTCTGCCACGGTTTGCTAGAAGACGTCGGTTCGAATCCGTCCAAATCGCAGGAATTTTTTCTAACCGTTCAATTAAGAAACTAATGGAGTAATTTCACAAAAAATAATTGATTATCATGTTGCTGGTACACACTGACATTTATTAAAAACACTTAATTTTCTTGCACTTGAAATTGTAGATCATAGGCTATTAAGTACAACTATAGTAAACCTACGGTTTAAACAGAGCTATAGGTGCAATTTTTTAAATGATTCTAAGTGACACGACGAATAAGTCGTGTGCCTGCTATTAAACGACACGCTTGTCCATAGCATTTTCTGTGCCACCCAGAGCTTTAAATCGCAAAGATGTAAGGGGCACTGTCAACCTGAGACATAAGTTGACAAGTTCCATTTGCCTGTAACTGTGATTTATGAAATCAATCAGGCTGTAAAGCTTAAGTCAAGAACGGCGGCTGAGATGATGAGTTTCTGGATAGTCTGTTATTCGTCACGAAGCGAAAATCAGCGAAGAAATTAAAACCATTTGTACATATTGTACATCGTATAATAAACGTGTACTATTTAATTCAGTTGATATAATATGTATATTTTATCAAAGTTGATATATAAGTATGACTACAGGTAATGTCGACGTATGTTGTGTTTTTTTCTATCGTGAAAATTTTTAATAATCGTGTTTTCACATCGTATGGCAATCAGTGTACATCCTCAACTTCACTATATATTTTTTCCAAAGTGGTTCATTCAACACTTTCACTGCTATGTGGAATTAACCAAAGCCATTTGAGGTTGTATAGACTTTTAATAGTTCACATTCGGTCTCTACTGTTAATGGCACTTATGAATGTAAATTTGTATTTGAAATTCTAAGTATGATTTATTACTATAGAAGCAATGTGTCAAATTCAATTGTATATTATGACGATCAATAACGACATCAATGCGAAATGGGCTAAGCTCTCCGCAGCGTCGCTGCCGCTGTCCAAACGTATAAGGAATGTAAACCATCAATCTGTGTACTCTACCTTCACCTGACCAAGTACATTTCATGAAAGGGTGATAAATAGCCCAGTTTCTCACCACTTTTGCACATTTATGCTAAAGTTGATTAATATTGTACAGGCAGCAGAAAGCGGCAATGTGGAAGACTTTATGCGCTTGTACCTGAGTGAACCATCGCGACTGGCCGTTCGGGATTCCCGGGGACGCACCGCGGCCCATCAGGCCGCAGCCAGGAACAACACTAATATACTGCATTTCATCAACAACTACGCGGGAGGTTAGTCATGTTGCACCGCAACTACTGGGCGTACCATCAATACGTCCCAACTCACACTATATTACGCCTCACGATCGGGCTCGAGTTTAAAAAAAAAACTCAGTTTCTGCCATATAACACAACATTATGACCCCATAATGTTGTCATCACTGTGAAATAAACGTTACAGTTAAACTTGGTACAGAATTATCTCTGATTACTAAACCTCATGCATTCAACCATTTGTACTACCACACTGCTGCCCCAAATTAGATTAACCAGACCCACTGCAGACTATTAAAAAAAGCAACATGTATCTTTAAAAACTGTAATGATAATAACAATGGTGCTCTGAAAAGTTCGTTTTGTTGAACAGACCTGAATGCCCAAGATAATACCGGGAATACTCCACTACACTTGGCCGTCGAAAGCGAAGCTTTGGATGCTATTGAGTTTTTACTACAGAAGTAAGTACCTTATATAAGTACAAAGTGCAAATGGAAGTAAATTAAAAATCAAATATGTGAAGGTTCAATCGTACACAATAGCTGCACTGACATTGAATATTCTTTTCATGCGGTTGATTTTCGCACCCTCCGTCCACATATAATTAGTAATATTAGTATTTCACACAAGCACAACTAAAGTCACAAAGACCACCAAAAATACACCCGCCTCTCTACGAGGTTTCCTCATGAGTTGTTGATTGTTCCACGTTCGGCCTAGCTGTGAGTTCGCTCTTCTGAGCTTGGTTTTATTTATACTCCACCACCTCCACTTACCATCGCATGAGAATCTGGTGAATTATGAATTGTTTCTAATTAATGTTTAGCGAACAGCAAATTAATTTTCTTTCTTTTTTTTGAACATAGATTTCCGTAAAGTAACACCTGAATCTATTGATTATTTATTTTAACCAATCTTTGTTTTTTCTTGTCTTAAATTCTTAAGAAACTTTTTTTTTTTTCTTCTTACTAGGACCGGGTTGATGATAATGTAGAAGTCTTATATAACTAATAATATCATTCAGATCAACGTTCATTCGAAGTATTTTCTGGTAAACAAAAAGAGTATTTTCAAAATTTCGAAACATCTTTTCGCCTTCTTGTTGTTGCACACCTTGTAATAATTTGTGTTGATCAAATACGTTAATTCTTAGAGCGTGAAAGAGGAAACCTATTTTGTATCTTTTGTCGTCCATGATTGGTTTCCTAAAGTCTAAAGAACGATAAATAAATCTCCGTGCGTTTAGAAGCCAAGCGAGACTTAACTTTTTAACCAGATTATGTTTGTATTCTTCAGTCACGTTCGGCGGGTTGTCCCTGTCAATGAAACCCTCGTACCAATAATCAGATATCACCCGCGACCAGGTAGTGCGTCTCGTATCGGGACGCCTCTTCTTTCTGCGTACTGTCTTTTCAATGATTCCAGGCAATAATGTTTCCATTTTTTTTAAACTTTTTAAAGTAGGATCATTGCTTCTGCCTGTATCACTGTGTAATGCGCGTCTGAACATACGATCCATAAAGTCCTCTCCCATATCGACACTTTCCACGCGTTCATCGTCGAGTTCCTCTTCTGGTTCCGGATAATAGTAGACTTCTTTTACTGCGAACTCCAGCAACCCATGAGCAGCTTTTATACAAGCGCTTTTTGCAGGTGTATTTTTTCTTGTGTTCATTTTCGACGCTTGAGCTGCCATGGCACCTATTTATAAAAAAATCAAGCCCGTGTTATAAGAGGTTTATATAGAATTAATTAATATTGTGATCGGGTGACGTATACGTGAACTTTTAAACTCTCATCTTCGCCGTATCAAATTTTTTTATCATTACTTAAAAAACCAAAATCGTTAAAATAAATACTTGAATACTTACAGAAAAGAATAGGAGTCAGGCATATTAATATTATTTGTAATTTAATCTTTTTCCGCACTATCATCATATTGTTCATGCAGGCCGATCTTCATGTGATTTGAAAGGAACATTATTGTTGTAACGGTCCTAAACCAGTATTTCGTAATATGATTTGGTCGATAAACAATTAATTAAGTGTAAACATGAGTAGTTACAAAAATTGATAACGGCTTGGTTTATGGACAAAATCTTAACCAAACATATCAACCAAGCGAAGGCGAAAAATGTACAGCTACTTCTGTAATTTTTAGAATAATATAAATAGTGGATGAAAACGATGAAAACACAGATAGGCGTTAAGACACCTAGGATGCTACAGTGCCAAAATCATAATATCACCGCGGATAATTAAATTTTGTGTTGGGTCATTTTCATTCCAGAAAGAAGACGCAGCGCTTGCTGCATCTTCTTTTTCATTTTTTTGTTTCAAGAAACGTATCCGTATTCTGAAGAAGATAAGATTATGTTGCAATGATATTTTATTGCAGCGTCAAAACAGGCGACTATAATTGACACCTAATCTGGAAAAATACTTCCAAATGATTGCACGTTTTTTTGTTGTTGCTTTATACATTTTTGAAAACCCACGTCGATGCACTCTGCATGTTCTTAACAATTAAATACTGCTTTTATGATTTTATTTTCATTTTATTAAGTTCCTCAAGGTAAGCAATAATGCACTTACCCACTGCTGGCTAAAGCACAGATAATTCCATTTTAGTCAGCGGCTGTACTCTATTTAGGCACCAACATTTTCCCAGGCAACATGTATTTATTAGTGCTCACTTACTATCATTCCCATAAGTGTAATGCTGGCCGCTCTTTAGAGATCCAGCATGGCTTCCAGAAGAGTTTCGGTAGCAGTGGAGTTCTTTTTGAAAGAGTTCGTCCAGGGAAGTACTGCCACCTTACCTATTTCTGCTGCCAAGCACTAATGTGAACATTACTTGGTACTTGGTACTTGGTGCAACGGTCTGGTGTCCGCAACTCGACGTCAAGGCGCCTATTTTGCGTGTGGTGGGTGCAGGGTCCTACTCGTGCCACCCAAGCTCCTCCAGGAATCTCAGCAGCCTCCTCGGTTTGCTGAAGACTTCGGGGAGCGACCTTGGCACTCCAAGGTACTTTGCCCTGTAGTTGGCCACGCCGGAGCACTGTAGTAGGATGTGCGCAGCCGTTTCCTCCCCCTCCATGCACGCTCTGCATAGAGGGCTGTCTGTGATACCTAAATTGAAAAGGTGTTTATTGTATGGACCATGACCCGTTAGGGCGGCAGTTAGAGTGCGAAGCTCTTGCCTTTTGAGTTTATAATGTGAGCATTACTGCGTACCATTTTTGAAGGGCAAAGGTGCTGGTGAAATTACAGGCACATGGGACTTGTCAACTTATGTCTCAGGGTGACGGGCGCTGTTGCGGTACCCATAAGATCTTTGCGATTTAAAGCTCTGAATGGCACTGCAACTGTTATGGATTGGCGTGTCGCTTACCACCAGGCGCACGGCTTTTTCTCAAAGTCTCCAAATTAATGGAATTTCAATTGGAAATTCAACGCGCAATGGCTGAAGCTATTTTTCATCAATTTGCCAATAGAGAGGTTTTGCAACAACTACTTAATGTTGGCATCATACCAAAGCCCTTTATCAATTTTTCGCATACTAAGGTTAAAATTTCGATTCTCTACTTTATACAGTTGTAAATAATAATACAAATCCACAATTAACTTTTAAAACTATAATTATATTGCTTAGTTCTGTGCACTACAGTGCATTTTCGAGTATCTGTTAGATAAAGGCAAGTATAATGATAAAGGTGAATATAAGAACTGTAGTCGACGGACAATTGCCACACTTGTGCACTAATCACTACGCTTACGCAAATTTTCCAATTATATTTACCATGTCAATGTCTCAACTCCGTTGTACTAATAACTAATATACCTTACGTAAATACTAGAAAACAGCTTTTGTTACAGACGTGTTAACACGGGAGTGCTGAACGAGAAGACTCAAGCTCCTATACATTTAGCTACAGAGCTTAACAAGGTATTAGCCATTATTTTAGCTATAATATGAATCGGAGTGCACTTTGGTATTGCTGACGTGAACCCAATATTATTTATGATATTCATTACCATTAGTTCATACGCGCAAACATGTATCGATTATAGGACAATTTAAGACAACCCAATAATGTTCAGTTCGTTGTTAAGCCTAATAAGTGCATTTAAAGATAAATTAATTGTGTATTTATTTTTAAATTTTACTAGGAATATCATTTCGGTGACTTTTGTAGGTGATTATACCTATATTTTCGTAGCACATTACTTTCACGTGTATCCAATGATTTGGCCAGTTTTTGACTTGTGCACGCGTCTTGTCCAGCGCACGTGATATACAATTTAAAATTAACGTGTCGTTTTTGTTAGTTAATCAATTTAATAGAAACAAACACTGTATGTTAGTCCAAATTTATTTTATTATATCACTGAAATCCACACCCTCATTGTCGAGATTAGCGTACACAAATGCACGGACAAAAAGACTAAAATTCTAAAAATTGATGCTTCAAATTTACGTGTAGTAATAATAGGTAACCTTGTTTTTACTATAAAATAATAAAAGTACAGACCAGAAACAGAGAACAAAAAGTAAAGAGAACGGACACTCTCCGCCCTTCTCTAGCTTTAGGTACCGCACCACGCCCCGCACATTGCCGGTTACATTGACTGAACGACAACAAGGCTGTTGGCGAGCCGTTTTCGTGCAAAGACGGCTTTGATATTTGAATAAAGTTTTCATTTATTCATTACGAAACTTGGACGTTAATATAAAACATCGATTTACGTTACTATTTATAATGTTCGTGAATTGTGCTGTGTACGGTTGTTTATCATAATTTTCCGAAAGATGAAACGAAGTAAGTAAAAAAACTTATATCTGAGACTCATTCAGTTATTGTTTTCTTCATTTATTTACTGCAGAGTAATATATGTATGTATAAAAAATACACAATGATTATATCTATATAAGGAGGCGCCATGATTTCGTGAGCTAGTAAACAAGGGTTCTCGAATTTACAATTCATATTGCCGATAAATATTACGTAAGTAGCGAATAGATCTAATTAGTGACGATCAACTTGGACACGCAATTTCAAATACCTTGGTTACCTTACTAATACCTCTTTCCAAAAATTAAAGAAAATTTAAAAGGCAAATAAAGCAAAGAAGATGCCTTGGCTGCTTATAACTTGGAGATTTTTGAAATGTCTAAAGAAGAGTGGTCATTGATATTTTCCAAGTGGCTTAGACGAATGGAAAAATGTACATGACCGTGTTCACGGTGAATACTTTGAAAAAATCGATACCTGTAATAAAAATAATTAATTTTATAATTTTTGAAAATCTAATTTCTTTTGGCATAACCCTCGTATTTTATCCAAAAGCTGTGCTAGTTATATCACGCGCGGTTGGCGTGATGGTTTTTTAAGTATTATTTTTGATAGATTGTGTATGTAAACATTCTGCAGGTAACAGTATTGCAAACGTTTGCCAAGTATAAGAGCCAATTCAACGTCGACCAAGGTGGGGAGCATGGACGCACCGCACTCCATTTCGCAGCTATTCATGATCATGATAAATGCGCCAGAGTGCTGGTAACTATGCAGTTACATACTTATAAAATTTAAGACTGCAGGTTTACTGAATGTTTGCAGTTAATGCGTGAAGTCATAATCAACTTCATGCAGGCAAGACTACAACTGCATGAAGTTGCTAACGACTTCACACAGTCGAGGTCTTTGGTAATAATAATAATCTTAAAGCATTAACGACATGCAGTCGAAACCGACTACTACATACAGCCGAGATCCACTGCGTGCAGCTAATGCGGGAAGTTGATTACGATTTCACGCATTAACTGCAAACATGCAGTCAATCTGTTAGCAGCCTTATGTACACACTGACAGGCAATTAACAATACGTTAAAAATATATTCTATCTTTTTTAACTAAGCTAGAAGTCTATCTATGAAGGTCACCCTCTAACTGGATAAATGACCTGGTATAAACAGGGGGAACCCTAGGATCGTATTAATTTGGTCTATACTCAAAGGACAACAGGTCGCTCTTTTTATATCCAAATTTTAAAAATTTACTGAAGGGGAGAACAAGAGGTTCCAAAAAATTATATTTCACAGTGAAAATTTTGACTTTTGCAAAATGCAACGCCTGTGTATAAAAAATGTATTTATGATTTCAGTCAAGTTTGGAATCGACAAATTTAACATTTTTGTTTTTCGTTACTAATAAAATAAATCAATTTATCAAACATTATTAAACTAGGTTAGATTTTACACCTTTCACAGAATAATAAAACAGATCTTATCCGAACAGATAACAGACTTAGGAGCACAGTGCAAACGCCCCTGCAACAACGGCTACTATCCCATCCACGAAGCAGCTAAGAACGCTTCTTCGAGGACCATGGAAGTATTTCTCCAGTGGGGGGAGTCTAGAGGTTGTACGAGAGAACGAATGATATCTCTCTACGACAACGAAGGCAATGTTCCATTGCACTCAGCTGTTCACGGGGGAGATATAAAAGCGGTTGAACTATGTCTTCGATCTGGAGCCAAAATATCCACACAACAGCACGATTTGTCCACTCCCGTGCATCTGGCTTGTGCGCAGGTCAGTATTGTCAAGTTTTGTGACTAAAATTAATTTGCTTTCCAAAATTAATATAAGTATAATTATTCTAAGTAGAAAGTAGAAAGTGCGCCTCGTCGCGACAGCTACCGGTGAATTTGACCTGCGTAAAACAGACGTGGTGGAAATTTGTGTTATTTTAATTAAGTATCAGCTTCTATGTTAATTAATAACTATATTTCTATACAATATTTCCGTACAATTACAGTGGATTACGTACTTATTTATATACATTCTATTCTCATAGTAGATTACTTTTCAGTGATAGTTTTTTTTACAAATCAACTTATAGGGTCCTTAAATTTTGGCGAATATTATACATTGGAAGTGGAACTATTTTTCGGATCTAAATCGCATATTTGTTTTCTGTAACAAACCTACGTTTTGGGCCCTTTACAGGCCCCGTAGTCATCAATCAGTCATGGCCATATGACCTGTAAAGTGTTCGAAACGTTGGTTTGCAACGGTTGGTTTGGTTTGTAAAAACAAATATACGCGATTTAAATTCGAAAAAAATAGTTTCAACATTAATGAATTTTTATTAAGAGGACCTACATGTGAATGAATGAACACAAAGATCGCCTTAACAATGTTTAAGCGTTTTTTTAAACACCGAAAAAATATATTTCTCGCCGACCTCACACCGACGTCGTTGGTCCAGAAACCTTCAATAGCCACCGTCAAAGATTTTATGATCGTACAAGTCTAATTCTAACGAACATATATATATAGACATATTATTTCATTACGAAGATTTAAAAATGGTTATTAACCCTTTTGGAAATAGGCTATGGAACATTTGAGTTCCAGTAAGTTTTTTGTAACAAATCTTCGTTGGGTTAGCTTAAGTTAGGCTGGAAATGTATTCATTATAGCTTACCTTCGGTTATCCTTTATGTTATACCCTGTACTAACTAGCTGCAATATTTTACATAATTATTGTTGATACTCACACAGGGAGCTCTTGACATAGTAAAGCTGATGTTTACAATGCAACCAACTGAGAAGCTGGCATGCTTAACTTCGTGCGATGTTCAAAAAATGACGCCGATCCATTGCGCGGCAATGTTTGACCATCCAGATATTGTCAAATACTTGATTTCTGAAGGATCAGATATAAATCCTTTGGATAAAGAACGCAGATCACCTCTGCTGCTCGCAGCGTCAAGAGCTGGTTGGAGAACTGTACATATTTTGGTATGTTTGAGTCTATCAATTGTAACACCTATTCTATTGGATCTGGAACAATGATAACAATTAATGATCTGTAAACATAATTTTTAACATTATAGATTCGTCTGGGAGCTGACATACAATTGAAAGATATAAATTCGAGAAATGTTTTGCATCTTGTAGTGATGAATGGAGGTCGTCTCGAAGATTTTGCTGCAAATTGCAAAGTAAGTTCATCCATGACACTATGGTCTTTTGTCGCTTTAGTAAATTGAATTTGCATTCTAACATGAGGTTTACCAAATGTAATTACAGTTGCAATTTAAACAAACAAAATAATAAAAAATTTGGTCCATCATCCACAGTCTGATTTCACCCACTGTTAGTTTGGCCATCCAATACTCCTGTGCTAGCCGTATCAACTGACGCCCCGTTACGCGTACTATGTCGTCGATCCACCTTGCAACTGGGTGCTCGACACTTCTTTTGCCCATAAATGGCCACCGATCAGTCGACATCTTTATCCACCTGTCTTCACCTTGCCTTGCTATGTGTCCCGCCCAACCCCATTTGAAGTTCCACAATCCGAGTTCCAGCATCCTTTCTACTTTCGTCTGTCGTCGTATCTCAACGTTCGGAACTCGAACCATAAAGCTAATGCCGATTGTAGCGCGCTCCATGGCCTTCTGTGCAACTCTCAACCTGTATACAGTTTCTTACGTGGGCGTCTATGTCACATTTGGATTAATTTGGTGGAATTCTCAATACCTTATTTAAAATTGCTGCTTCTATGTACAGTACAATTATTTTCTTAATTACTGTACTGAGGGGTATAGCTCTAATGCATAGCGAAAGGTACAAAAGTACCAGTTTACATTCATAAAATGAATGTAAACTGGAATAATCTTTAAAAATATACTTTATTTCACTTTTTTACATGTTACTCGTTTTGGGTTACAAATCAATAATGTCAAGATGCTCCATTCTTTTCTCTTAGTTCATTTTCAAAGCATTCTAATTATGAATCTATTCACTCAGCCAGTGATTCTACTCATAGAGTAGAGCCTAGACTACATCCCTCTATGAGTAGAATCACTGGCTACATTACTCAGATTTCTGAATGTACCTGAATACGGTTGTTCATGTCTAGTCTTGAATTCAGAACTACTTATGTAGCCGCCAGACCCAAGTAGAAGTTGATGAGGATCTCGACGAGCTCGTAAAATTAAAAGACGATTTAAGTAGACTGTAATATATTGGCAATAGGTTGCTGGTTTACGGGAGTAGTGCCATTAATCATTAAACAGTGGTGGTTTCTTAAAGAAGTACAATTCAAAAGTGAACGTCCTTTTTGACCTTTTTGAGTTCATACGAAAAGTTCGTTAAACTGTGGTAGGGGTGAAATAACATGTATTTGGTGTTAGTTGATTGGTTCAAAAAAGGCGCCTACGTAATGTGCCTTTGACGAGCGTTTAGTTAATGCTTTGAAAGTTATATTAAATTTTACTACAAATTCAGTTGCGTTCGCAACAACTTATTTCATTGTTGTTTTGTTTTAATATTCCCTGGTTATAATAACATTTACTCCAACAAGTTCACAAAATTATAAACTAAATATAGAATAGTAATTTCTCCGTAGACAATAATTGAAAATTGTACTGTGCTGTTAGTACCAACAAATTAAGAAAATTTATTATGAACTCACGTTCTAACATTTTATCGTTCAGGATCGCTGTGAGAAGAGTCTAGCACAGTTGTTGAATGAAAAAGACAACACTGGTTGCTCGCCGCTGCATTACGCCAGCCGCGAAGGTCACATCCGATCGCTGGAGAATTTGATCAAACTCGGCGCTTGCATCAACTTGAAGAACAACAACAACGAAAGCCCTTTGCATTTCGCAGCCAGGTTACTGCATAGTTATACGAACTACTTTACAATTATTAATTACGATGTTTTCCTTACTATGAGATGTTGACCCTTATTCTAAAATCAGGGCCACGATTGTAATAGGCACACAGAATCTGACACGATAGAAATAAAACTTAAATTTCAAATACTAAAGACTTAATTTTCAATGGAGAATTTTATTTTGTTACTTTCAATAAGCAATAATTTTATAAATAGACCTTGATCGTTTCAGCATTTATTAAAACATTTCAAAATTGTGTATTACTGGCGGTCATCTTTTAAAAGCAGTTTTGAAAGAAAAAACTACAAAGATCATTTTCTTTTCGTAGGTTTGAAGAGTTGATACTAATCGTGTGTTATATTCTATATGAACATAACTAATAAACTTATTACCATTACGATTCATTTTATTATAAAATACTATTCTTATTTATAAATAAATAAGTCGTGTATTGTTTTATGTAGTATATAAAAAAAACAATATGCAGTATATAATAAAATTGTGTGATTTAGAAGATGTTTAAATACCTAATGGCAATTCTTCAGATACGGGCGATACCACACCGCCTGCCAGCTTCTGGACTCTGATAAAGGCACGTTCATCATTAATGAGAGCGACGGTGAAGGACTCACCCCACTCCACATTTCCTCTCGCGAAGGTCATACCAGGTAAGCATAAATAAAGGCGAATCGCACATAGTGCGATAGCGTACCCTCATGATACTACAAACGGTGCACCGTAGAACCGCGTAGTTTGTAATAGGGAAATGACGTGTGTTTAATGAAGTACTGCTCACATTACTGTATTTTAGTTTTGAAAGGTAAGGGTGCTGGTAAAATTACAAGCACATGGGACTTATTAACTTATGTCCCTCAGTGTCAGCAGTGCCCATCAGAACTTTGCGAATTCTGATCGCTTGGTATTAAAAAAAAGAAAAGGAAAATGAAGTCCTTAACAAAATTATCGTCCAATTATAGACTTATTTCTATAATTAAGAGCTGTCATGCCAAACAAGTGTTGACGTTGGCTCCGCCCAAATTGTGAAACAAATATATGCCTGAAGTTCGCGTGACATGCGGCAGGTGATGTTGAATTTTGCGCATTAAAAGTACCAAATTCGTTTTAGCGGAATAACTCTAAAACTAAAGGGATTAAAAAAAATTCGCAGTGACAATTGTCGATCATGCATAAATATAATTAATTATCTAATTTTTGTCCTAATAACCTGTAGCATTTCGAGGGTAAATCGAAAAAATGTGAAAATTAGAGGTCATTTCGTGATTTTTATCTATCGAGGAAACTTTATTGTTTTATGTTTCTGATTAATGACTATGTTTGAATATAATCATGTTGTTACTCATACAATATTTTATTTTTAACTTTAAAATGAATGTACCCCTCTAAAATCAAATCGAGATTAGGAATTTTTCCTCTGCTCCCTCTTAAGAAACAACTTTATTTTGGAAACAACTTTAATATATTTTTTGTTTATAACAGAGTGGTGCAGCTGCTGTTGAACAGGGGAGCTTTGCTACACCGAGATCATAACGGGCGGAATCCGTTGCACCTAGCCGCTATGAGCGGCTTCAATCAGACCATCGAGTTGCTGCACTCCGTTCACTCACACTTACTGGACCAGACGGACAAAGACGGCGTGAGTATCACAAACTACTGTTAAATTTGCATTAAGATGCTTGTATTATTTAGGAGCAGAGATGATCAAGCGTCCGGGTTTTAAACTGGCGTTTAGTTAACGCCGGGTTTGAATCGGGTTAAAACTCATTAACGCCCGAAATCAAAAACTAGTTGCGACTAAATTATATACAATATGTTTATTGCTTGCTTACTACATATATTGAATCGATTTGCTTGAAAATCTCATTGAAATTAATCGATAAAGAATTAGTTATCGTATTCACTTGAATCCATTTTCATATAAATCTAATCGTAATGGGCATCCCTAATAGTAAAAGTCCACACGATTGCAAGGGGATATGGTGTAGAGTTGTCTATTTTTTGTCTAATAATTTTTTTTACATCGAAATTTCTAATAAGTATGGAGTTGTACAAAAACCATCAAATGTCATATTAAATATATGGGAGCTTTTAACGTAAAAAATGTGAATATGTCTAGTTTTATTTTTTAAAAGTGTCGTTTTACTCATAAGGAAATCTATTTTTGATATAAGTTTAAAAGTTTTTGATATTTGTTATATTTACGGAATTATCGCTTGGGCACATTTAACGGTTACAACCTGTAGATTATGACCTTTCCTTTGCTCAAAACGTGTCATGTTGGCAAAATTGCAAATCGTTCGTTTGGTGCTACATTGACGTAATTGTAAATTTTGGCAAAATTGATTTAAGTATATGTAAGCCTGAAAAGCGCCAGAAAGCGTCTGTAAAAATCTTTATATTCGTGTAATAGCCAGGGTTTCAATGGCGGCACCATTACATCCGGGTTTATGGCTTCATTTTTGGTCGAAAAACTATTGCAGCAAATTTTTGATAATTCTTTTGCTCCGACTGTTGTATTATATGGTTTGTATTATAACTTGGTAAAGAACCAAAAATAAGATTTTAGTAAATGGAATTTGGAACAGCTCCGACTGTTGTGGCGGTCGAGCTGGGAGTGACCGTGGTACGAAAACAAAATGAGAAAGTGAAGGAAGATGGAACAATTCAAATTTAAAATTTAAATACATGTAAAATAAAAAAAATTATAGGATACAAGCGGAGAGAGGCGATACAAAGAGGTGAGATGACGGCGAAAGGAGGTCACACCGTCACAAGCCTCTGTAACAAGTGTTGATTCACTTTTGAACAAAAATCGACAGAAATGTAAAATTTGTAAAAATCGTCAAAAATACACAGTTTTATTAACACGTCATAAAAATGAAATAAATTTAAAAAATCAATTCAAATCCATCTCCTTTTCTCCAACATTACAAGAAATACAATTGCGTCAGTGTAGCACCAAATGAGCGAAATTGATGATACCATAAATTAAATCTAGCGAAATTGATAATACCTTAAATTTAAATCTCAATGTTACAGAACACACCTCTCCACCTAGCGACAATGGAGAATAAGCCTAACTCCATTGCTCTGCTCTTGTCTATGGGCTGTCGTTTGAGCTATAATAACCTCGACATGAGTGCAATCGATTACGCTATCTATTACAAATTCCCTGAAGCGGCTCTTGCGATGGTTACTCATGAACAAAGGTAATGTTGCACAAACTTTTTTAGCTTAGGTATTGTATTGTTGTATTAAAGTTTTGTATTGTGCTACGAATACATTTTCGTTCGACTTTTAAAACTGCATTGTTATTAGTTTATGACTGGATAGATTTTTAGTAGCAGTAGAGTACCTTGTGAAAGAGTTCGTCCAGGTAAGTACTGCTACCTTACCTATTTTTGCTGCCATAAACGGTAATGTGGTCCGCGCTAAAAAGTGTCCGAACTTATAGGGCGTTAAAACCGTATACAGAGCGTCATTCACGCTTTAGTCTTCGTTTGTTCGACTGACAGCGAAGCAAGCAAAACTAGACAGTACTGCGATGACATTACAATTTAAATTCAACGTTTTAGCTTTTTCATATTCCTTTACACTACGTTTAAATAGGTTGTGACTTGAGACATTTTTTTCGTGGTTTTTGTATTAGACCCGTCGCCCATTTACTTGTAAGTCAATGGTAAAAAGTTCAAATTGTTTATTTGATACCCAGTTCATTCAAGGCAACGAAATAATATAGCTAATCGAAATTGTAATAGGGGTTAAAGTATGAAATTGCCGATTTGTACTGAAAATCTAA